CGGTCTAGTTTACCTGTCCAATGCATCTCCCTTTATGAGCCAGTTAGAGCACTAAGATGGGCTGGGGAGGTCCTGCTCTCGGTCCCGCTGCCCTCGCAAGTGTGATTGGTGGGGACAAGAGACAGGGCCTTCTCAGTGATGGCCTCTCATCTGTGGAATTCCGTCCCCAGTAAGATTAGATCAGCTCCCTCCCTCCTAGCATTCAGAAAACAACTTAAAACTTGACTATTCAAGCAAGCATTCGGTGAGTGATAGCAATATTGTATTAAAGGACAATATCAGGATTGGTGCAATGTCTAAAATGTTTCATGCTTATGTCAGTTTGATGTTTTCATAGTTTTAATGGTTTTCATCTACAGTTATACGTTATTGATTTAGATATGTGATATATTTATATACATATGTGAGGTATTGAATTTTGCCATGTATTATGTTTTAAACTGCTTTGAGTCCTCCCAGGGATGAGAAAAGTGGTATAGAAGTGTTGTTAATAATAAATAAATAAATAAATAAATGGAGGGAGGGAGGGGGGATAAAAATGAATTTGGCAACACCTCTAGGACTAAGTGTTTTTTAATTTAGCATGGATATGTGCCCACTTCATCAGATGCAGTACAAACTGGTATGAAAGCCTCAGCCAGTAAAGCAGTGGTTCCCAACCTGTGGTTCATGGACCACCACTGGTCTGCAAGAACTAAAATATGGTCCGCAGTCTCACCGTTACTACATTGTTGCAATAAGAGCGACTGGTCTCACGAAACCCTCTTATAGTGGCAATGGGGATGTCAGGAGGGAAGAGGTTGACTACCCTCAAAAGGGGCGACAACAAGGCTCCTGACTGCTGCTTCTCCTCTTCCTCCCGAGGGGAGCCATTCCATGTGGCGTCTGGAAGTGTGTGTGTGTGTGTGTGGGGGGGTTGGTGTCTTTGTTTTCAGGCCGCTTCCTGGGGTTATTTGGGGTGCTGATTCAGAAAACTGCATTAGATAAACCGTATCCGCTCTAGATGATTAAATATGGTTTTCTGTGGGCAAGCAGATAGCGACTACTGGATGGCATATGTTCTGTATCGGAAACTAGAGCTGATGTGGTCTATCCAATGCAATTTTCTAAATCAGCACCCCAAATAAACAAACCAAATCTAAAGTTGACCAAAACCTGATTCATAACCCTCTTGGTACTAATGTTAGAGAGTGGTCCCTGGTTAAAGTGGTCCTTGGTCAAAAAGAGTTTGGGAACCACTTTTTTTGTTGTGTCAGGAGCGACTTGAGAAACTGCAAGTCGCTTCTGGTGTGAGAAAAATGGCCGTCTGCAAGGACATTGCCCACAGGGCGCCCAGATGTTTTCACGTTTTACCATCCTTGTGAGAGGCTTCTCTCATGTCCCCGCAATGGGGAGCTGGAGCTGATAGAGGGAGCTCATCCACGCTCTCCCTGGATTCGAACCTGCAACTTGTCGGTTGGGAATCACTGCTGTAAAGCATATTTATATAGTTGTGTGAGTGGGTCTGAATGCAATAGGATCCAGAAAGGTTCAAATCATTATTTGCCCTAAATTTTCAAAGTGCTAGGTATGGTGACCCATTACATTGGATTGAATGGCCCATAAGGGTCCTCTCTATCATTCTACAATTCTATGATTGTCCAATTTATGGACAGCCTCCATAAAAACAGTAATATTCTGATACAGAACATTTTTTCCTTAAAAAAAATCATATTATTACAATCACCAAAGTACATTAGCTTACTAACAGGATATCTGGAAATTTCTGCCAATACCAAGATGGAGTATGCTCCCATTTCCACCCCCGTGCATCTATTTCTGCCTAGGACACAAAAGATTCCTGGAATTCCAGTCCTTTTTCACTCCTTTGCAATGATAAAACAGAAGCACAGCAAGGCACTTTTTCCTAAACTTCCTGAATAATGTCCACCGTTAAGAAGAGGCTGGTGCAGCAACTCATGATGCCGATGGCAGACTTCCAACAACAGCAACTCTGGAGCCTTGTAACTTAATCTACACACAATACAGAAAGGCATGGGATTATCTCAACAGAATGAACACTCTCTTTGAAGCTCCCTCTTTCACTTGATTTCTGACTACAGTCCAGCAATTGCCAGAAAGTTCTAAAAGAAAATGGTTACAGCTTGGATTACCTTCTCTTTAACTGTTCCAGTCGAGTCCCAGGCAGACAGGCAGGAGAGAGAAGCAACTCAAATTATTTTATCGGCTGCTGGCCTTGTGGAGCACAAAGTACAGTTCTCGACTTCATAAAATAGCAACAGAGCTACTTGCACAAACCAATGACTTGCTGAGTTTCTGATCTGGGGAAAATCAGCTTATATGACAATTTTCTCTGTGTTGTGATTTTTAAAAATAACCACAAAAGCACTTCAACCATCTCAGTAAAACCCAGGTATGACATAAACTACATTGTATTGTAGAAGGCTTTCATAGCCAGAATCACTGGGTTGTTATGTGTTTTTCGGGCTGTATGGGCATGTTCCAGAAGCATTATTTCCTGACGTTTTGCCTGCACCTATGGCAGGCAACCTCAGAGGTTGTGAGGTCTGTTGGAAACTAGGACTGTAAACTGTATTGTTTTAATGAGTTAACATGCCTATTTTTTAAAATGTTGTGAGCTGCTTTTGGTCTTGATCAAGAGAGAAAAGTGGGCTATAAATAAATATAACAATAACAACAACAATCATGTTGGGTTGTAAACAACACAAACAAGTCGGGTTGGGAGGGGCTAATGTTGAGGCATTCAGTCAAAGACTTATGATGATGGGAGGTGACAAACATTTAAATTAGGCTCTACCAGGAGTGCATCAACACCAGGCCTGGGCACACTTTGGCCCTCCAGATGTTTTGGACTTCAACTTTTTTTGGACTTCAACTTCCATTCCTAACAGCCTCAGGCCCCTTCCTTTTTCCCCTCAGACACTTAAGCATTAACTGTAGTATTAACACAGTATGACATCATTTTAGCTGCCATGGTTCAATAGCATGGGATTCTGGGAGTTGTGATTTGACTAGATCTGCAGCCTTCCCCGCCAAATAATGCTAGGGCCTCACCAAACCCCAAAACCCAGAATTCCTTAGCATTGAGCCAGGGCAAGTCAAGTGCTTCTAAACTGCATTCATTCCCCAGTGTAGACAGATGCACTCCAGGTGATGGCTTTCATATACTGCATCTGGGACTATCCCCAGCAGCTGAAGATGCCAATCAACACAATTTGTGGTTTGCTTGTCACCCAGAAATTATCAAAAGATCTGGAGAACAGGAAAGCTGCCCCATTATTTCACAATAAGTTGGTTTTCACTCCCAGTGATTGCAGAGAGCATTACAATCAGAAGCTCTCCACAGACAAAGTGTGTTCCAGGGCTTCTGCTAATGTTAATGAGTTACTAATTTCCTTGCATAAGAGGTGGAATTGAAAGCACAAATCTTTAACACATACATTGCAAAATGTATAAGTTTGAGTCAACAGTGTAGCAGATGGGACTATTGCAGGCATGGGCAAACTTGGGTCTGCTAAGTGTTTTAGACTTCAACTCCCACAATTCCTAACAGTCTACCACAGTGGTTCCCACCCTTTTTTGACCAGGGACCACTCTCCAACATTAGTACCAAAAGGGTAACGAATCCGTTTTTGGTCAACTTTAGATTCAGTTTGTTTGTTTGGGGTACTGATTCAGAAAACTGCATTGGATAGACTACATCAGCTCTAGTTTCTGATACAGAACATATATCATCCAGTAGTTGCCATCTGCTCGCCCACAGAAAAACATCTATATAAATAAAAATGTAATGTTAGTTTGTGGGATTAAGATAACTCAAAAACCAGGGGACAAATCGACACCAAATCTGGACACAATACACGTATCAGGCCAATGAGTGACCATCACTCATAAAAACACTGAAAAACACAGCAAAAGGGACTTAAAAAGCCAAAAAAGCGAAAAGACGCTACAGTGCATGCGCAAAAATGACACCCCCGGCAAACTAAACACACAATAGCATATCCACACTCTCTTCCAGACTACAGCTACCAGCATCCCCTAGACCAGGCCCTTTAGGAGAGGAGGATGATCCAAATGTACTGTTTCCAAGATGCAAGCTTTCTTCTTGGATTTCTTTGAGATCATCCCAACCCCYGCATATGTGGAATTTCCTATTCCAGGACTGAAACTCCCAGCAGTCCTCGAGATAGATAGATAKAGATAGGTAGATAGATAGRTAGATAGATAGATAGATAGATAGACAGAWAGATCAGGAGGACTGCTAGGAGTTGCAATCCAAGAATAGGTAGAGAAGGAAGAAAGGGGAGAAAGAGGAAGGGAAAGAAAAGGTGGGGGGGGGGGAAGGAAGGAAGAAAAGAAGGAAGGAAAGAAAGAAAGAAAAAAAGGAAGGAAGGAAGGAGAGAAAGAAAGAAGAGAAAGAGGGAGGGATGGTTGGCCACAGCAACGTATGGCAGGCACAGCTAGTATTTAATAAGCCTCTGCACTATAAGGTTTTGTGACACCTATCACTCCTGTTGCAACGGTGTAGTAACGGTGAGGCTGAGGACCATATTTTAGTTCTTGTGGACCACTGGTGGTCTATGGGCCACAGGTTGGAAACCACTTCCCTACGAATGGTGGGCGTTGAAGTCCAAAACACCTGGAGGGCCCAAGTGTGCCCAAGCCTGCTCTATGCTGAGCAGTGCCGGTGCAGTGAGAACACACTGAGATCTCGCCCTTATTTTTCTGAGCAAATGCCATATGTTTTTCCAAGTCTAACTTGTGATGAGGGAGAGAGAATGGGTGCATCTGTACTGCAGAATTAATGCAGTTTGGTAGTACTTCAGCTCTAGCTCGTGCAATAGAATAATGGGAGCTGTAGTGGTCTTGCACCTTCCCTGGCCAAGAGTGCTACCAATCCCAGATGCCCCCAGTGGCTCTTGGCACTCCTCTGCAAAGCTGGCCTGTGCACCCTAAGCCCAAGAAAGAGGTCTCACATGTCCAGGCGCCCCCGGGAGCCCTTTGTCGGGCGCACCTCGCCGTGCTTCCCAATGCCGGGCTCGGAAGACTATAGGTAAAGGGAAAGGTTTTCCCAGCCTGGCATTATGCATCCATGGGAGAAGGAGACGTGGACAGAGCCCCCATTGGCCCTCCTCTCCAGGAGGGGCGGACCCGAGAGAACACCGCCCCGAGCGGTCATGATGTCCATTCAAGCGAGGACCGGGCCTGGATGGGGATGGACTTAGGACAAAGGATCCTGGGAGGTGTAGTTTCCAGCGGAATTCATGGACTGCGGGGTCCTCCCTCTGAACCTGGGCGGAAAAGGCAACACGATGGAGCGATTGCCAGGTAACACGGTTACTTGCAATTAAGGTGACTGTGTGTGAAGGAAGAGCCCAGGAATCTGCTCCAAAGAGCTACACACAAAGAAAGTCTTTTTTAATTTTTTATTGCAATGGTATCCATCTAATCCATCGAAATAAACTTATTTTATATACATCCATAAACCATTACATTTTTGGGTTGTTGTAGGATTTTTCGGGCTATATGGCCATGTTCTAGAGGCATTCTCTCCTGACGTTTCGCCTACATCTATTGCAAGAGGTTGTGAGGTCTGAGGATGCTTGCCATAGATGCAGGCAAAACGTCAGGAGAAAATGCCTCTAGAACATGGCCATATAGCCCAAAAAAACCTACAACAACCCAGTGATTCCAGCCATGAGAAAATGCTGCACTCACAGAGCTCAGATAATGTTGTGTTTCAGTGTCAATGTTGACTTTTGTGGAGAAGTTGCTACCAAAGTAGTGGAAATGGGCAACATTTTCTAATGTTACACCATTAAGCTTTATTTCTGGTATTGCAGAGGGATTGGCTGGTGCCTGCTGAAAGAGCATTTTGGTATTCTCGGTGTTCAGTGAGAGGTCAAGCTTTTCATATTCTTCTGCAAATGTGTTAAGAGTGGCTTGCAGGTCTTCTGAATGAGCACAGATTACATTATCATCAGCATATTGGAGTTCTGTAACAGATGTTATGACCTTGGTTTTGGCTTTCAGTCTGCTGAGGTTAAATAGCTTGCCATCTGTCCAATAGGCAATTTTCACGCCAGTAGGAAGCTTCCCATCAACAAGGTGCAGTACCATAATGATGAAGATGGAAAATAAGGTTGAGGCAATAACACATCCCTGTTTGACACCCAATTCCACCTTAAATGGGTCACTTTGGGAGCCATTGCTATCCAAGACTGCTGCCATCATTTCATCATGGAGGAGCCACTGGATGTTCATGAATTTGTCAGGGCACCCGATTTTTAGGAGGATGGTCCAGAGAACACTGCGATTCACTGTGTCAAAAGGTTAATGAATGCCATGAATAGAGGTTGATTTTGTTCCCTGTATTTTTATTGGAGCTGTGGAATATTGTGGTGTGTAATTGGAGGGTGGCAATATGCATTATTGCACTTAGTGATACCAACTCTAAGGACACCACTGGCAGGGAGGTGGCAAATAATGTCACAATTAATATCATTTCATCTATTCACATTATTTGTAGACTTTTGGGCTGTAAATATTGATTTTGCCTGTATACTGCCTCATAATTTTCCTATAAATTTCCAGATAGAAGTAAAGCAGAAAGAAAAAAAATGATTTTTCTATCTTAAGTAATACCTGGAAGGCACCCACATCAATCACTTTGTGGCTGGGGTGATCTTGGTACTACATGCTTCACATAACCTTTCTATTTAATAATTTAATAGCTGCTGTTGATTCACTTTGCCATCAATTAATCCAAAAGGCTTAACCGAAGTCAAAGAAATTAGAGAATACGCATTAACCTGTAGGCAATTCTTTCAACGACATGGCAGCTCAGACTAAACTATGTGCCCCGCTTTATCCTTTCAAAGATATGTGTCTCAATCTAGAGATGCTTGAAACAGTTCATGGCTTATTGGTTCTCATCACACCACACTGGCTCATAAAATGTGTCAATGCCTGGCCAACAACTGACACCTACATTCCTACAGTCAGCCATTCAGAAACCGCTGTTCTATTTAATGAGTTGCTTAGGAATGTTGTTGTAAAATGTTTCTGGTGAGCAGATAAACACAACTTCTCAAAAGCATTACAGAGACCTTCATTTTCTCTCACTGTAAAGGAAGCAATTAGTTTCCTTGGCTCTCATGCTTAAGCAGCAGGGTCCCCATTTACAGTCGCATTCCTCATTTGCACCTCTGCAGGTGGGAGGTGCGGGTGGCTTGCAGAAATCATGATGGTGCGGCATACCATCATGGGGAAGTTCTCTCCATGTTCCAAGTGGGGAATATCCAACTTCTTTGACTGGCCGTAGCCTCATTCTTCTGTGGAAAAGGAGCAGCTGAGAGCAGCAGCTGAGAAAGCGAAGTAGGCAGTGATGGGAGAAATGGCAGGAGAGGCAGGAATTGCAGCAACAACGAAGGCCAAAAGAACGAGGAAGAAAACAAGCTGAACAAGGGGCAGCAGAGAGGTGCCTCACGCCTTATTTGGAAGGAAATCACAAGGAATATACCGCACAGAACTAGATAAACTTTGATTCTACCCCTCTTTTGGTGAGGAACCAATAATAAACAACAATTTGTTTCTTGACTCCAACCCCTTCCTTCAATGTGTATAATCTGTGTCTGGGTTTCTACAATAGTAGCAACTAAGTGCCAATCTAGGCATTAATTTAAATGTATACACAATTAGATACCATTCAAAAACAATTATTCTCCAATTATTGTTGATTTTAAGCCCGTTTGTTTTGATCAGCTCCAGATCCCTTTCTTTTACAAGAACATATATATATAGAGAGAGAGAGGTGTTGCATTGTTGTGTGCTTTCAAGTCTTTCCAATTTATGGAATTATTATAAATTGTTCTCTTTTCATTATTTGAAAATACATTTAAAATAGATCACACTAAATATGGTATTCCCTAGTCTTATTAAAAGTCTTTTCCATGTTCAAAGCTAGAGTATATTCTCAAGCTACTCATATTAAAGTTAATATTAATTACTTCAAGACTTAAATTGCCCATCTAGACATGCTAACTTGATACCTTGCTGCTGTGTCTGGGTTGGTAAGGAATGATCTTACTTCTTCGGTATTGTTTCTGCACTAAACGTACAAGTCTGTTCAAGGCAGTTACATTCTGGTACATAGACCCAGCATTCACTGGTTTCTTATTAAAGCCACACAATTCAAAGCAAGAAAGTTCTAATACCAGAATATGAATGTATTGTTTCCAGGAGCTAACCCGTCTCTGAAAAGAACCAACACATTTATAAGTGTTTACGAAATAAACAGTCTATTTCATCAGCTCTATCACATTATTATCCTCAATTGGCTAACTGCTGGGACATGCTTCCTTGTATAGGTGATATAATAATTAGAAACAGAGGGAATTAAAATGTTACTACCAAGCTACTGTGCTCTTCATGATTGCTGTTATGATAATGAGGTTTGGACTCTTTGCAATTTAGTTCCATCTAATTACATAAATCCTGTACACATCCTGTACTGTAATCAGGTCATGTATGTGATGAAATGAATGGTGGGCCACACAATTTTACATCAAATAATATATCTAGGCTGTGATCCTGTATAAAACAGATGGTAAAGTTCTGCCACCAAGGCTGCCAGGAAGGGAAGACACGGGTAGTCGGTCCACCAGCAGTTGCACAGAAACCTTCCTGGCAGACCTTCACATCTGCTCAGTGGTTCTTTCAGTTAGAATGGTGCCATCCAGCAGCCATTTCATTCCAAAGCAAACCACTTCTGCCTCCTTACACAACATCTCAGCGTAACACTCAGCTATGCTAGCATAAAGCAAAAACAGTATTCTAATAGCTAATACTCCAGAAGACAGGAGCAGAATTAAAAATTATCTTAATAGATTAGAGAGATTGTCCAAAATTAACAAAATGAAGTTCAACAGGGACAAATGCAAGATACTCCACTTAGGCAGAAAATAAATAAATGCACAGATACAGAATAGGGGACGATGCCTGGCTCAATAGCAGTACATGTGAAAAAGACCTTGGAGTCCTCGTGGCCAACAAGTTAATCATGAGCCAACAATATGATGTAGCAGCTAAAAAAACCAATGGGATTTTGGCTTGCATAAATAGGAGTATCGTATCTAGATCCAGTGAAATAGTGTCCAATTCTAGGCACCACAATTTAAGGGAGATGTTGACAAGCTGGAATGTGTCCAGAGGAGGGCAACTACAATGATCAAGGGTCTGTGATGTACAAGGACAGAAAATGTTTAAAATGTCCAGAATGTTACTCTGCTGGAAAATTTCACAGGATTTTATATTACATCAACTGTGTATGGGGAAAATGGCTGTATCTGGAATTTTGTTTCTAAACTGTTGTATTTAATAGAAACTGCAAGTTGCGTCTGGTGTGAGAGAATTGGATGTCTGTAAGGACAAGGCCCAGGGGACACCCTGATGTTTTGATGTTTTATCATCCTTGTGGGAGGCTTCTCTCATGTCCCTGCATGGGGAGCTGGAGCTGACACAGGGAGCTCAGCCCACTCTCCTAAGATTTGAACCTCCAACCGGTCAGTCTTCGGTCCTGTCAGCACAAGAGTTTAACCCACTGCGCCACCGGGGAGGGGGGGGGCGCTCCATAGTTTCATAATGAAGAATAGCTTAAAAGATGATGGCTATATAGCTAATGGTGGAGGGCAATCTGAGGTTAACCTTAGTTTTAGCCACATAGATACGTTGTGCATATGACTTAATTACATCAAATAACACTGGGGACACTCTGAGCAAGAAGTTATGCATGAAGTCTTATGTCTTAGCTCTATCTTATGGCCCAAAGTCCACTGATTCAACAGTAAGCTCAATTAAAATGTGTATTGTAATGGTATGAATATTTGACTATTTCCGATATCGCTTTATTCTTTATCAGGTTTTATGACTGTTGAATGTTCAAAAGAATGTTAATATTGAGGCCAAAATCTGTTTTGAACAAAGCAGGACAGAGTCACAAAAATTACACACAGGGTAGCTATGTTGCCAGTTAAACTTTTTGTCATATATTGGTCATTTCAATGGTATATATACATATTTAAAGGTTTATTACATCCAGTTACTAAGCTAATTTTCCATTTTATTTTAACAAATACAACAACATAGAATTCAACAAGAAAAGAAACCCTGCTATACAATAGCATGCTGACACTTCTCAGAGGAAAATGCTTGCTTCCTCTTTTTTTGGGCACAGAATTGGTGATTGACAAAAGTGTAAAAATCTGGGCAATTACATTTTAACCTTTAGTATACCCAGCAAAGGCCATGCATCCCTGCTTGCTGAAATTTAAAAAAGAAATAAATAGAGGCTTTCAAACGAAAGCATACAGTCACCGAAGCCGCTTTGAAGTGGAGCCTGAAAGTTCTTAGAAACCCACTTTACATTTTAATAATCCACTTGATGCCACTGTACTTCGGTTCCAAAATCTACCCAAATCCAAGCAATACTTTCCGCTTGTGAAACGTAACTAGAACACTCATATTCTTCCAGGATATTCAGTCTGTTTCCATGACAACACTCCGGGATTCTTTGGCTACCATGAGTCGCATTAGTTGACTGTGGAATTTCTCAATCTTTTTTACGTCTTGAGCCTGATCTGTCCTATACAGTAGGCACTGGAAGAAAGAGAAGGTTTAGATTTATCTGGGTTTTATTTCAATTTTCTGAAACAAATATTAATTTACATGAAATACACCAAGATACAGCATTGAGAATATTGCTCTAGAAACAAGATACAGTACTGTGTTTACAGGATGCCATTTATTTTGTGCTCTTCTATTTTAAAGTCCCCTTCGGGGTGAGAAGGGCAGCATATAAATGTCATAAATAAATAAAGGAAACAGTTTTTTTCTGCCATCCTATCTGGGGTTACAAGGCAGGTTACATCTTATTTTCTCTCAAAGACTGTGCACTCATGCTTTCAAGGATAAACCTATTTTTCAGGACTAGGATGGGCAACCTGGAACCTTGCAGACATCGCTGAACTGCAGCTTCAATAATATAATCAGCGATACTGATTAGGGGTAATGGCAGTTGTAGTCCAAAAGCATTTGAAGGGCTAGATATTCTTAATCTCTGTTCTAGCAAAACAATCAAATAGTAATTCCAGTATTGGGAAACACATAAGAAAAATCTAACAAAATATATATTTATCCAGAAATTTCATCAGTTTGCTCACATAGCTGATTATCATCACCTTTATGTATAATGTACCTTTTACTCAAAACTGGGACTCAAGACAGTCTTAATTATTAAAATAATGGATTAAGGAGAGGACACCTAAAAAACTCCATCAAAATGGCCTCTATAATGTGTTATGAACTCATGTTGTTGACCTTCAGAGGATAATTATTAGCTAACTGCAAACTTCTTCCCCCTTGCAGTGCTTTCCGGGAAAGAAAATTTTAATATGTCTTAGCCATCATGATTTCTGTATGAAGTTGTCAACATCAAACATGCTTAGTTCCTTTAAGTAAGAAAAAACGTGTAGATTCATCTCATTAATGAAAATCCCTTCAGCAGTGCAATCCAATACAAGTCTACATTCAAAAATCCCCTACTGAACTCAGTGGATTAAACTCACAGCTGCATACAGTGCCACAGTCTAATTTTCTTTTTTACAAGTCTTCCCGGACTAAGACCAAATTGGTTCTGTTCAAGCAAGAACATATTTAAGAGATATTCCTAAGAACAAGAGATACAAACTATTGGCAGAAGAATATCTTGCAATTTCTTCCTCAATCAAGACATTCCCACAAAAGATCACATTCTAAATTTCAGAAGGCTGTGACTCCAGTATTGAAACTCTAATTTGAAGACTGTGGAGCCTTTACATGTAATAAAATTGTTGCACTGGAGCAAACAAGTAAAGTTTATACTTGACCATGAGCACTTTGCTTAGGCCCACCTTTAGCCCCCACCTTATAGCCTTACCTCTGTTCACTGCACCTGAGATCCTTTCAAAATTGGAAACTGGCCACTGTGGCAAAATGCATCTCCTATCCTTGTTCTAAAAGTGTGACTCAACTGGTTTAGCACACTGCAGTCACAAAATGATAACTGGTGGCTTCAAAGCAAGGAGATTATCCTGTTTATTTTTATTTAAGAGCCTTACTGTGTTCATTGGACTTTCCTAATAAGTATATTTAGAACTGAAGATAAAAAGATACAAATATTATTGGGGAAAGCAGCTTTCCAAAATTTTAGAAAGTACACTAGTAGGAAGTTTATTTTTGTTTTTAAAAATGAAAGAATGAGATGTATATAGAAGAAGGAATTTTATATGAGCTTTCCTACACATTGTTTTCTTTTCAAGGATAACAGACGAAACATTTTCCTTTCTTCTACAATCATATTGTAGAACTTGATTCTGAACTGCTACAAGAAAAAAAATCAGAGAATGTTTTCTCAAATTACAGTTAATCTAATCATTCAATTAAAAAATGCTAAACCAAAGTAGTTTCCCTATTTCATTTAGATTCTCTAACATCTTGTTTCTTGCAAGTGACAATAGGAAATAATAAATAATTTTACAGGTAAGAGCATTAGCCATTCTACAACAAGAGACCCACCATGTTTGGGGGTAATTGCCTCCATGTATTAAATGAGTAAGATAATCACACACTTCATGCCCTATTTTGCAAGTTTCCAAATACATCTGACTGGCCACTATTGGAAATTAAATCTGGACTAAAAAGAACTACACCCCATACATAGAGGAGCTGTTTTTACATGCTAATCTGTAAATAGACATAGTAATCATATGAACTCTTAAAACATTTTAGGAGTTTATACAAACAAGTGTATATATGAAATACCTAAGAATTCTACCTGCTTCAGATGGTGACATTATTTCAAACTTTGTGTTGAACATAAGTATTCTCAGAATTTACAAGTTAACTCTGTTTTGCACTCTAAATTTCAAGGCATAGAACGATTTCTGAAGCCTTTCTTCTCCTCCTGTTACAGTATCTTCTCTTCCTGTTACAGCATGGAAGAATCCAAGGAAAGCCATTTGATGGTATCAGCAGGTTCTGCATACATGACTATTTCAAACTAAACATGGAAAACGTATCTACACTGGGAATATAGCACAGTAGTGCAAGGCAGCTTCCAGTTTCAGTACAAAACCAGTAAAGATTGAAGGGGCAAGCAGATTGGTTGATCTGCTTTTTCACTCCTATAGTCAGCCCTCCACATTAGAACAGGATCCCCCATGAAAGTGAAAAACCACAAATAAAGACATTGCTGTAAACATTTTTACCCGAGAGAACACCTCTCTAAGAAATTCTAAGTCAGTGGTTCTCAACCTGGGGTCCCCAGATGTTTTTGGCCTTCAACTCCCAGAAATCCTAACAGCTGGTAAACTAGTTGGGATTTCTGGGAGTTGTAGGCCAAAAACATCTGGGGACCCCAGGTTGAGAACCACTGTTTTAAGTCTTCCAGCATGACTCTATGTTTGAATTCCATTGGAAGCTGTCCAAAGTATTGTAGTGGAGGAGCTAAAGATTTCTAGAGAGGTGTTCTCTCTAGAAATATCTAAGTCATCCAGCATGACCAGAGTAAACTGACACAGAAAACTTAAGAGATTCCTAGAAATAACATTTTAATCAAATCAGTGGATAACCAAATCTGGAAAAGGCATAACCACAAATGTGGAGGGATGACTGTATTGCCTCACTTAACCACACTTTGACCTAAATTCTGTTGTTAATCATGACTACAATGTGAGGTGTACTCTAGTTGGAACTAACCAACAAAATGCCAGTCTTCATAAGCAATCTTTACTTCCTCCTCACATACACAGTAAACTTGTGAAGCTCCTGACATCTTCCTCTAAAAGTGGAAAAGAAACCTGGCACATGGTGTGCGTTTGAGAACAGAAAAAGAGGGGACCCTGTTAGGTGCACACATGTGCCATTTCACTGTGGGAATCAACTTAAGTGTTACTTTATAGCTAAAACCAAATATTTTCAAAAGACAATTGGCAAATGGGATTCAGAGGATCATGTTGCTAAAATCTCCCCACAAACATTTTACTTACAACAACATCATCTGTTACTTTGATGCACAGATTTCCATCACAGTGCCGATATTTGAGTACCACACGTACCTGAAATAACATAAGCATTGTTTTACAAATTTGCAATTACTGTTTCAACTCAAATACTACAAAAAGGGACAAGTGAATTCTGTAATCCACCCTTGGAAATAGTTCTACAGTACTTAACATCCCGCTTCCTCCTTTTTAATTACCAACTTGCCCTAGCATGCATAACTTAGAATGCATCTACAGAACAGAATTAATAAAGCTTGACTCCTTCAACTGCCATTGGTCAATGCTATGGTATCCTAGGAGGTGTAATTTAACAGAATGTTTAGGCTTCTTTGCCAAAGAGTGCAAGTACCTCACTGAACTACAACTCTCATGATTCCATAGCCTTGAAACATGGCAGATAAAAGTATATTAATTCTACAGTGTAGCTGCACCCTTGGTCAGCTACACAATAAAAGAATATAGTAATACTTCACTGGCTGGTATCTGCTACATGTATTTAGGCAAAGGACTATCGACAAGTCTTTCTGAACTCAATTAAAAGAAAACAGCATGCAGGACTTCCTTTTACTTAAATAAGTGAGAGTAGTCTTATTCAATGGCATTAATGAAAAAATTGTAATGTATATAGCATGGGAAATGCTATATAACTGGCCTTAAACCCTATAATAGATAAAAGAGGTGGCACACTTTGCAAGACGCATAATTAGATATAATCCCCTAATGGGTTATTTATCCTATCACTATTGCTACAAAAGAAGAAGGCTTTCACAAAGCTTGCTTCAGGATGAAACCCATGTAGATGGAGTATTTTCACTTTTATTATTTTTTCAACTGATGAGTCACACATAACCTCTAAAGGAATCACGCCACACACAAGACCACTGGTTTTAATGAAAACCAAACTGAGCAACATGTAATTTGGTCAGATTCTGTTTTATCATCAGATACAGAAACATGGCTATAGGACCAAGATTTTGGAGAATAACCTGCAGTGCAACAAATGAATGTAGAATCTGTGCAATGACAATTGGAATGGCTCTGGATTATCATTTTGGATTATGTGATTTTAATTACATAACGAGTGCTTGTTGTGAAGCCGCCCTGAGAAGGACGGGGGTAGAAATGTATGAAATAAATAAAATTGTTTTAGATGTTTTAATTCTGTTTTTTCATGTAAATGTTTATTAATGTAAATGTTTATGGCATTGAATTGTTGATGGTATGTGAGGCTGTTCTGAGTCCCCCTCGGGGTTGAGAAGGGAGGGGTACAAATATGGTAAATAAATAAATAAAGCAAATGGACTCTATTTCTAATGGATTATTGCACTTTTCTTCCACTCCTGTAAAATGTATTGCACTCATTGAATCTGTACCTCAGCTATGTTCTTTTTTCTCAGCCATATTGTTCTTACGTTGTTAATAATTGTGTTGTATTGTTTTTATCTGACGGTTTTAATTGATTAAAGTGTTTTACTTGTGTGCTTTAATTGTAATTTTTGTGCTTGTCCCTTGTAAGCCGCTCAGAGTCCCCTAGGGGAGATGGCCAGCGGGGTATAAAAATTGTTATTGTTATCCATGTCTGAGTTATACTAATTGTATTGTTTATTTTGCTTATTGCTTGTTGTTTTTACTATTGTTTTGTTGTTTTATCGATGTGTTGTTGAGCTAGGCCTCATGTAAGCCGCTCCGAGTCCCTTGGGGAGATGGTGGCGGGGTATAAATAAAGTTTTATTATTAAGTTATTATTATTATTATTTCTCTGTGTAGCCAGCGGCCGGTGAGTTACAAAATTGTTATTGTCCATTTCTGAGTTATATTAATTGTATTGCTTATTTTGCTTATTGCTTGTTGTTTTTACTATTGTTTGTTGTTTTATCAATGTGTTGTTGGGCTTGGTCTCATGTAAGCCACTCCCGAGTCCCTTGGGGAGATGGTGGCGGGGTATAAATAAAGTTTTATTATTAAGTTATTATTATTATTTCTTTGTGTAGCCATTTAAGTCTTGTACTGCCTGCCCTTTCATCCATAACAAGGGGGCCCATTTCAAGAACCCAGGGAAGGAAATTTAGACTCTATAAAGGCTTGTGCTACAAATTGGTTCGGTCAGGATGCATCTACACTGCAGAATTAATGCAGTTTGACACCACTTTATGGGCCCTGAGACACAACGCCATGGAATCAAGGGATTTAAAGTTTGCTGAGGCAGCAGCACTCTTTGACATTGATGGATAAATGCCTTATGAAATCCCCATAATCCCATAGCATTGAGCTACACCAGGCATGGGCCAATTTGGGCCTTCCCTCCAGGTGTTTTGGACTTCCACCATTCCTAACAGCCTCAGGCCCCTTCCTTTTCCCCCTCAGCCGCTTAAGCCGCTTAAGGCTGTTAGGAATGGTGGAAGTCCAAAACACCTGGAGGGAAGGCCCAACTTGGCCCATGCCTGAGCTAGAGAGTTAAAGTGAAACCAAACTGCATTAATTCTACAGTGCAGACGCATCCTTGCTGTGGATAAAAACCCTTAGACAGGGGGAGTGAATGCCATTTCTCCCCTCCTCCTCCTGAAGGCCCTGAAGCAAAGCTTGGCCGGCTCTTCGCGGGCTCTGCTTCTCTTCCCTCCCGATCCTCATAAACTCTACCTTCAGGGGGTCCGACATGTAGAGCTTCTCGGCGGCGCGGCTGAACTCATCCCAGTTCTGAAAGTGCGGCATGGCTACCTCACTTCCCTGGAAAAGGACACCTCAGCGCTCTTCCTCCCCGGCAGAAGCAAGATGGCGGGCGGAGGCGGGGCACGACGTGGCCAGCGAGCCCTGCCATTGGGTAAGAGAAAAGATTCCGACCAATCCTGACGCGCGTTCTTCTCGAGCCGCTCCGCCTATCCCTAACCCCGCCTCTTCTCTTCCGGATTCCGGCTTCCGGGGCCCAGGAAGAGAGAGTGGAGGGAAACGCACAGCGCCCCCTAATGGCCAAGAGCAACTGCATTGGCGCCAAGGTTTAGAAGGAACCCAAAGAGGAAAGGGCAGTAAAAGAAAAAGAAGATTTTAGAATGAATTCTAGATCCAGGGAAGTCATGCTACCCCTCTATTCTGCCTTGGTTAAACCACATCTGGAATACTGTGTCCATTTCTGGACACCACAATTGAAGGGAGATGTTGACAAGCTGGAATGTGTCCAGGGAAGGGTGACTAAAATTATCAAGGGTCTGGAGAACAAGCCCTATGAGGAGTGGCTTAAAGAGCTGGCCATGTTTATCCTGCAAAACATGCCCGTTATAAATATGTGAGAGGAAGTCAGAGAGAAGAGGGGACAAGTTTGTTTTCTGCTGCCCTGGAGACTAGGATGTGGAACAATGGCATCAAACTACAAGAAAGGAGACTCCACATGAACATTAGGAAGAACTTCCTGACTGTGAGAGCTGTTCAGCAGTGGAACTCTCTGCCCAGGAGTGTGGTGGAGGCTCCTTCTTTGGTGGCTTTTAAACAGAGGCTGGATGGCCATCTGTCAGGAGTGCTTTGAATACGATTTTCCTGCTTCTTGGCAGGGGGTTGGACTGGATGGCACACGAGGTCTCATCCAACTCTATGATTCTATGAATGCAGCCTGACAGGGCTCAATGCTAGGGAATAATAGGAGTTGTAGTTTGGTGAGGCACCAGAAGAGGTAATAGTATGAAAGCTGGGCCCGGATGCTCTGAGCGTTATGTGTTTCTGCTTCGCTCCTTCAGGAGCACTGTTTGCGTAATGCAGAACGGAACACAGATATTATAGAAAGAATGTAAGAATTCTTTAATGGTAAAACCCTAAGGGTTAGTCTTACCCTAAGCCTAACCCTTAACCCTAATCCTAACCCTAATCCTAACCCAAACCCTAAACCTTACCCATAATCCTAATTCTAACCCTAATCCTAACCCTTACCCTACCCCAAACCCTAAACCTTACCCTAAACTTTATTCTAACCCTCCTTTCCTTTCTATTCTTCCACCAAATTTAAGTATATTCCTGCCCTCCTCAGTGTGCCACTCTCCCCTTCCCTTATTCACAATTGCCGTTGCGGAATGTGTGGAAGCTCGGAGCTTCCGGACCCAGCTATCATACTATCACCCCAGGAGAGAAGGCAGAAGGCTTTGCAAGCACCAAAGACTTGCTTATCGATCTCAAAGGTATACAAACAGATTTTTAAACAGCTTGGAATTTTACTTTCTACTAACTGGTTATTCATGACTTTGTAGATACTGTGGTTCAAAATTGCTTGTTATTAACATTACTGGCGTACTTGGTATCAAGTGACTGAAAAACATAGAAAAGTGTTGTTTGGTTTCGTCTATCATTAGTTTATCTTGCCTGGAATCCCATCTCCTACCCACCTATGTAGGCCTCATCTTCATTACTATATAATAGAGTTCCAGAATGCAGTTTAACTCAATATAATGCCATATAATGCAATTCAACTGTGCCGTATGGCAGTGTAGATAATAACAATAACAACAATAATAATTGTATTTCTTTCCCATCTTTCCTCATAGTTCAAGATGTGTCACAGTCAAAATACACAAATACTGCAAAAGTTATATAAATACACATATTAAAATGTAGTTGGGGCCTATATAGGCATAGTTTGTACTCAATTCTTTATTTATTTTATTTATTTACTGTATTTTTATTTTGCCCTTCTCACCCCGAAGGGGACTCTGGGAGGATCACTGAACACATATATGGCAAACATTCAATGTAAATTATACAATGACAGGACAGACAACAGATAGAAATGTGTTTATATAGGTTTTGCCATCTTTTGGCATCTTTGGAGGCTGTGTTCGGTTCTGGCCACAGGGGGTTGCTGTCGCTCCATCTCCTTGCCGAAGAGCATTCTTTGTTCATAAACTTCCTCATTTTTTCTGATCAAAATGCCATTCCTAAAATACCTCTCTGCTTAATGCGGTTCCTATTTATCTACTCATATTTATCTTCAAACTGCTAGGAAGGCAGAAGCTGGGCTAAAGGTCAGGTGCTCACCCTGACCCAGGTTTCGAACTATCAGCCTTTTGGTTGGCAAGATTAATTGCAGCTTGGTGATCAACCTGCTGTGCTAAAGCCCAGCCCATCTACATGCAGAAGCAGCTGCTTGCTCAGTTTCTCAATCTCATGCTTGAGATGTCTTCCAGTGTGGATAGAAATGCTTCTTCATCTTAATCATCTGACATAGTTCACACCAATCCAGCCAGTTAAAGTTTATGATCTATCTATGTAACTGTTTGAAGCAAGTCAGCCCCCCAGTTCATATTCCCACTTGCTATTTCCATAAATGACATGTAACTATATATATATAAAAAAACAACCAAAAACCCCTGACACACATGTTGGGGTCCCACAAGCAGTTTCCAGGGCTGACCTTAAATTCTAGGTAGTTCAGTACTGAATTAGATTAGTATGTGGTACCTACAGAACTCTTTTTCAGCACCACATTTAAAATGAATTTATTTTCTTCTTATCAGCTTTCTTCACTATCTGCCTTCCACAATCATACATAGAAATGCTGGCTTTAGTCTATAAAGCCCTAAACGGTTCTTGACCAGCTTACTTGTCCAAATGTATCTCTCCTTATGAATCTTCTAGGAACTTAAGATAATCTGGGGCCAGGCATCTATAGGTGTCCTCAAAAATCATGTTCAGCCCCCCCCCCTCAAATTCTCATGGTGGTTCGCGAAAAGGCCTTACTGGTGCATTATTTAAACTGTTATGTTTATTCATATCATGATCTGATCACCATACTCAATATATCCCATATGCATGGGGGTATTGGGGTAATGATACAAAAGGTTTGCTAGGGTACACCCTCTTTCACTCAGACTCAGCCCCCCCCGAAACTCAGCCCCTGAAACCCCCCCTGAAAAAAACTCAGCCCCCCCCCCCAAATCGAAATCCTGGCTACGGACCTGATCTGGGGAGGCCCTGCTCTTGATCCCGCCTTCCTCACAGATGTGTCTGGTGGGAACGAGAAACAGGGCCTTTTCAGTGTTGGCCCCTCAGCTGTGGAACTCCCTCCCTAGGAATATTAGATTGACCCCCCTCTCTGCTGACTTTCCGAAGAAAAGTAAAAACTTGGCTATTTGAACAAGCTTTTGGAAATGCAGCATAATAGATAAACATGAAACTATGAAGAATGAACATGGAATGGCTAGACGATGCTACTGGATAATGAGTTTAACAGGGCAACTCTGATGATTATATGTTTTTAATGGCTTTTATATGGTTTTTATAATGTTATGCTGAATGTTTTTAATTGTATATTTTATGAATGTGTGGCATTGAATTATTACCAATCTGTAACCCTCCTTGAGTTGCCTTAGTGCTGAGAAAGGCAGGCTAGAAATACCATAAATAAATAAATAAATGCAAAGGCATGAACATTAGAATTCAATATTTTATCTTGACATTTCAGTATCTTGTTTAGGACCTTCACATATTCATATTCCTGCAGTGCAGGGGGTTGGACTGCATGGCCCATGAGGTGTCTTTCAGCTCAAAATTCTGTAATTATATCAACACAAAAGCCCTAAAATATATATATTTTAAATTGGAAATGCAATTCTATTATGCACGCACATATGCATGTATGTAAAGTCATTTATAAAACCTTTTCAAGCAAAGCTTGCCTAAGGTAGCTCGATATAATGTTTCGGTTTTTGAAAAGGAATTACAAGTAACCCAGGAGAAGGGGGGCGGTTTAAAGAACTATAGCAGAATTATTAAGTCATTGAGAAGTCCCTGTATTGGCTAGCAAGATATCAAACTTTATTTATTTATTTACAGTATTTATATTCCGCCCTTCTCACCCCGGAGGAGACTAAGGGCAGATCACAGAACACACATATACGACAAACATTCAATGCCTGTCATTTATACACTGACAAGACAGAGAATTGGCAGGTGAATTTAGATTTAAAGAAGTTGTTAACTTCCAAGATGCACATCAAAGAGAGGAAAACCTGACCACAGGCAGAGACACAATTTGCAAAGCTTACTTTGGTGGCTACAAAGCCCATACTCCCTTAACAGTAATCATGCTGGCTGCATGATTTTGGGAATTGTGATCCAAAAAATAACTCTGCCACAGACAAGTTAAAAGAAGCCGAAAAATATTCACCTTCTGATGGGAAGGTACTTTACTTTAATTCAGCTTACTAAAACTAGCAAACACAAGAATAATAATAATTATGTTGGTTTTTGAAAAAGAAATAATTTTCTATTCAGTGTGCTTCACGATTTCAAAGTTTGAAAAACCTCTTATTAAGCGAGAACATGACACTCTGCAGAGAAGCAGTACTTTTTTCCTTTTAAAAAAACCTACATTTTTTAACAACCGCAGATATTTCCCCCCTGCTACTCAGAGATGTTCCAAATACAGCCACAGCTATTTCAAAGGCTTGACTCTGAGGAGACACTGTGGCTTAGTCTAAAGCTTAAATGAAAGCTGCTTGTTTCAGCAAGAGGCTGGAGGTCAAACAATTATAGAGATCCTGCATTTCCCAAAATCAGTTAAAGCTGGTTAAAATTCACTTGGAGAAACAGCAGGGGAACATATTTAACTTTTTCAGACTGAACCAAAATGTAGATATGTTGATGCATGAGAGATGTTGTCCCATAATTACCAATGTAGCCATCTTTATTTCTGCCCATTAGGATAACTTTATATAATTGCCATCATGTAGCAAGCAAAAATAGTAGCCTTCTATTATCAGCCTTAGGGGAATGCACTTAAAATCCACAAGTTCTTGATCTGAATCACAATAGAAGCTGC